GTTTTTACATTAAGTGAGAACATGAAGAGGAATTCTCCAGGGTCTTATTTTCAAACTTTACCGATTAGTAACATTAGCAAACACCTCATATTATTTCCTGACACTTTTTTCCTGGTGTGATCTGTTCTATGCTTTTCCACTAATTACAATTAGCTTACTAAAGATGAAAAAGAATAAAATGTTTTCGTTAGACAGTTTAAGTATCACATCTATTCCACAAGGGATGCACCAAAGACTACAGGAAAGGAATTTGTGTTCACTGCTAACAGTCCATGACAACTTTTTTTAGCACCTATTCCAAAATTAAGCAGCATGAAGACAGGTGTGCTATTTGGCAGAAAATGCTTAGAAAAGCAAACAATATTGTGAGAGACTTTAGTAGGACTAATTCCGATTTGCTTACACACACTGAATGGAAGTGTTCGTTAATAATTATTATACTTTCTCGCATTTATGCCAGCAGCCATATCACCCTGCAATTCACAACTGGCATCCCACTGAAGCTAAGCAGGTGTGAGCCTGGTCAGTACCTGGATGGGAGACCTCCTGGGAAAAACTAAGGTCGCTGCTGGAAGAGGTGTTAGTGGGGCCAGCAGGGGGCGCTCACCCTGCCGTCTGTGTGGGTCCTAATGCGCCAGTATAGTGACGGGGACACTATACTGTAAACAGGCACCTCCCTTCGGATGAGACATAAATCTGAGGTCCTGACTCTCTGTGGTCATTAAAAATCCAAGGGCGTTTCTCGAAAAGAGTAGGGGTGTAACCCTGGTGTCCTGGCCAAATTTCCCATTGGCCCTTACCAATCATGGCCTCCTAACAATCCCCATCTATGAATTGGCTTCATTAGTCTGCTCTCCTCCCCACTGATGGCTGATGTGTGGTGAGCGTTCTGGTGCTCTGCTTTCTGGCACTATGGCTGCCATTGCATCATCCAGGTGGACGCTCACATTGGTGGTGGTGGAGGGGAGTCCCCATTACCTGTAAAGCGCTTTGAGTGGAGTGTCCAGAAAAGCGCTATATAAGTGTAAGCAATTATTAATTATTATTATTTTTTATATACTGCTCTTTATCCCAAAGAACTTACAGGAGAGTATCTACATCATCCACCACTAAAGTACAGCATCCACCAGGGTGACATGTGCCAGCTATTGTATGCCAACAGCCCCACTATAGATCAGAGCAGATAAGGAACTGAGCAGTTGCTTCACCAATCAAAATAAGGGAGAACCTAAGAAATTAAGGAAGATTGTGCAGCTTAGAATGGAATTGAGCCAGGACTTCAGTGTGAGGGCCCTTATTCTTTTAAAGGCAGCAGGTAATGTTTCATACAGTAGTCAGGACCTTGGTCTAATGTCTCATTTAAAAAAAAGGGTCTCCTATTACACAGTCTCCCTGTACTGTATATGTGTATTATATACCACATATAACACAGTAATCTACTCTAGCATCTACTACAGTATATATATATATGGCATAATGTAAAACAATCCAACATGTAATACAAATGTAGTCATTTCCTCACTTTGCCACTGTTGAGTATTTATCAAAATGATCTGACAGAAGAAGTCACTCCTCACTCAGCAAGGGGGTCCCAGCCTCCTCGTCCTATGGCCAGGAGGCTGACCCTCAGACAAGAGGGTTAAACTACATCTCACTGTACCTAAATACTCAATGAACATCCTCAGATGCAACAAATTTAGACTGTATTTTAGAGGCAAGTGATAAGCCCTTTGCTTTCTGCTTTGAATGGCAAGTGGTAACCTAACATGTACTGAACATGTTAACTCAAACAGCTCTTCTTCGTTAGCAGTCTGGTAATAGAGGATTATCACCAGCTCCAGCTGATATAATTCCAGCCTTGCAGTGTCAGACGGAACAAAATGGTGATGAAGAAAGATAAGGAATCAAAATAAAAAAGGATGCTCTCTATAGATTTGAAAAATATAGCTTTAAACTTGATGTTATCACATACAGCAGTCAGAATTAATTTACTTTAAGCATCCACATAAAACCATTACAAGTATAAATTATTATAATCAGTATAATCATAATTATCAGCACGATAATAACAAACCTTACATCATTAGAATCAAACTCAATATTGCATTTAATTTTCTTGGAGAAAGAAGGAGAGTCCAAATGCAGAAAGATGTACTGTGGATAAAGGTAGTTACTGTTTTAAAAATAATAATGTAGTAATTTTATTATGATCAGTTAGTAGAAAATGGTTTTATGTAAATAATAAAACATCAATATACAGCAAGTGATGTGTTCAAGGCCTTAATTGTTGTGTGACATGCACAGAAGCAAAAGCCATAAATGGAAAACAAATGTTGAGATTTTTTAATGGTCTAAAGCAGAGTACCATTACTAGTATAATGAAACTGGAAGATGAGTATGTTTTTTCTACATAACTTAGCAAGTATCAGGTGGGTAATTCAGCCAATTTTAGATTTCATTTGGGAAAAGTTACACTTATAGTGCTGCAATTCATTGCACAGTTGCATATCAACACAGTATTCATTACTCCATTTGAGTGATTTCCAGTTTAAGTGAACAGCAGGTAATAAACAAAGCATCAAGATTGTGCATTGCGATGGATTGCTATACAGTAGACCTGATGGCTCCCAGAAGCTAAAATGAAGAATGTAAATTGGCAAATGGCTGTAAGCAACAGAAAAAAAAACTCGCCAGCAGCAGAGCTATGCTAAAAGAGCAACCTGATTAAACATATACTACGTTTGAATGTGAACAATGCATTTAACTTAATGATTAAGATAAAAAATACTACCCTGAAAAGAAAAGGCATTTTTGAAATTCCACTGTACTGCTTGCTCATTTAACAGCAAAACACTTGATAAGCTTTGTTTTTACTAAGGCCTAACATCAATAATCCCATGAAGAAGTTTAAATGAAGAAGCTAACATAAACATCAGTGTCGTATTATTTAAAATACTCTTTAAATGGAGAAATAGTGAGACAGCAAGCAGAATCATATTGTATAAAACATCTAACATCATATCTATTATTCACAAAATGTATTATTTTATTATGCACAAAAGACTTTCAATGCTGTTTCTTGATTTTTCACTGAAAATAAGACAAGATTGCCAACTAATGGCTGGCAGACAGTACACGTAGAGTCATGGAAATGCAAGAAAATATGATCATCTTCTCTGCGTCTTAAAGATGGTGATTAACTGCCTTTCAGTTAATCTGAATTATAAATGTCTTGTTGAGAAAATCACAAATAGTATAACCGTGTGACTACAGAAACTATTTCAGCAGTTTCCAAGGTAGTTTTATGACCTAAGATGATTTTTTCTGTATGACTTTTATATCCCAGAAACTAAGTGAACTGAAAAAAGCCCAGAGGAATACATGGTTAATTGAACTAAGAAGTGGGCAATGATTGCCAGACTTTACCTTTCTTTTTTCATTTCTCCTTGAGGCTATTGTTTAAGGGGATTTCTGATGATTTCACAATCGGGAATGCTACTTTGAAAGCCATTCTCTTAGCTTTATTTCTGCATTTGACAGTATATTGGGCATTGTAATAAAAAAAAGAAAAAAAAAACTTCTACATAAATAGAAGGGATACTTGTTTGGGGATCATTTGATTAACTTTATAAGACTATTGTAACAGACAAGTAACAATGTTTTGATTTTTACTTTCTATGTTTTTGTAAAAGAGTTAAAGAGATAGGCAGTAAAGTGAAATGGCAGTTAGCGTTGCTGCTTCATAGGTCTTGGGTACTAGGTTTGAATCTGGACTGAGATACCTTCTTTGTGGAGTTTGCATTTTCTTTTGCATGTCTACCAAAGACTTACTGGTTAGGTTACTCTCTTATGTTTTCTTTGTCTGTATGTACCCTGCAATGGACTGTTGTCCCACCTTCTGTCCAGTGCTTCTAGGATAGACTGTAGGTTGCTGTAACTCAAGAGGTTCCAGACAATGAGATACTGTACTAATGAGACAGTATTCTATACATAATAAGAATAAAAGAAAAATGTGGTGTTTTGTAGATTGCTTATCTTATTAGGATAGATGTCTTCAGTGGGGAACCATCAATGTACAGTAAGTAAGAGGTGCAAAGGTACAAGAAGAAAAAAACACTGGTAGTGAAACATTCTTCAGGCATGTGATGAAATGGGGAGACAGCAGGGATATTCTCACATTCTTATTCCCTTCTCACCCACTCTGGTTATGATTGGTGATGATTCCTGCTTCCTCTCTCATTGTGTTTTTTTCAATGTTCTGTGTCTGACCCATTGTCTTTTGTTCTTTTTCATTTCTTCTCCTAGGGCAGTGCGGTGGCTCTGTGGCTAAGGATCTGTGCTTGTGGCTGGAAGGTTGCCAGTTTGTATCCTGTGGCCGGCAGAGGAATCCTACTCCATTGGGCCCCTGAGCAAGGTTCTTAACCCCAACTGCTCCAGGGGTGCTGTATAAATGGCTTCTCTCCCTGTCTGTGTGTCTCATAGAGAGCAAGTTGGGGTATGCGAAAAGACAAATTCCTAATACAACAAATTGTACAGTATATGATCAATGAAGTGATTTTATCTTATCTATTTCCAATTCTCAGTGTGGAAATCACTCCAACTTGTTCCCTAGAAGTTTATGCCTTGTTTCCACACGAAAACAAAAAAACAAACAAGCAATGTTTTTGCTTATACTGTTATTCTGAATAAATGTACTTAAGATACATACAAAAATCTGAAAATAAATCAGAGAAAACAAATATATACCTCCACCTCTCAGTATACTGCATATTGACCTGGAGCTACAAAACGAGCTACAAAATACGCTCGTTCAGTGAACAGATTAGGAAATATGAACATAGATACCAATGTCACCCCCCTCGCCTCCACCCCCTGCCCCAACACACACATCCCAGCTGTGTGGACCCAAGCAGCAGAGGGCACGATATAAATAAATCACTTTTCTTATGATACCACTGCAATACATGAGACAAAGAATGCAACAGAGATTAATGGTTTACCTCAGACTGAAGTCCCCCGAAAGTGCTTTCGTGTTTGTTTCCTTTGTTTTCATCCATGTCGCTCCATCCTTCAGAGTGGTGGAGGGAAGAGCCCAGTGGGAGAAGAATTGCCCATAGACCCAGCCAGCCCATCAGTACCGATCTGTCATGAACAACATGACAACTGTCACATGCCATCCACTCCACCATACAACTTTATGAACAAAACCTCCCACTGGCAACAAACTGTCTAAACTTATCATCTGAAAACTAATTAATCTAGACATATAACATTTCTACTGCACTGTTTCAGCCCCATCCACTAAGTTAATTGCTAATACAATAGTCCTTGGAACATATGGTTTCATTTTCCTTTGCCAGACAAGCAATAAAACAAAGAGGCTGCACACCAAGGAAACTTTTTTATTTGTTAATATTTTCAGTGTCCTTTAATAGATACATGAGGGAAAACAGGCATTTCACTTAGAAGCTATGATAACTGGGAAAATAAATCTCCTGCCATTCAGTGATTATGTCTTAAGAGACATTGAAAAATATCTTGTAGGTATTAGAAAGATTGACAAATGAAACCCAATCTGTATGCCAATCAGGTGACTGGCCTCCTTACAAGTCTTTGATAAGTGGAAAATGACATACTTTACCACACAGCTTAAGTTTCAAGGTTGATAAATTAAATTAAAAATGAGGACTAATATGATCAGTGAGAGAGAACTGATGTCATGAAATTATACACATAAAAATTGAAGCCCACCAGCAAGTGTATAAAAGCAATACATTGGCAGAAGCATTTGCAGAGTATTGGCTTAATTCCAAACTAGTTTTTAACTAGTTCATTGCACCTGAAGGAAAATATAACTTGGGGAAAGATGCTCATTCATGCAGTAAATTGAGAGAATGCAGTGCAGAATGCAAATTTGTTTAATATGCTCACAATGATCTTATTTCAGCCCAAATTAGCATTGATCCGTTTAACATTTTACTTAAGTCAGTTTATTTTATTATTGCTGGTATTATTTTTTGTCTTGCAAAATCAAATGGATTTAATCTAGTTTGTTTTTGTTTTTTTTTCTGGTTTTTTTTTATTGAAATCAATCAAACAGTAATAATCAAACCTATATTATACACAGTGTGATGTGTTCCACATCCTCCCATAGTTTCTGTGGTGTGCAGCCAAACCTCTTAGTCCTCTATATGTTCCAGCTGTCTCCAGAGATGAGCCTCAACTTTTACCTGTCGTGTCTGTCCACTACTGGCTTATTCCATATTCTTTAGTCTTCAGCCACCATTCCTGCCTGCACAGGGGCAGACCATGTGCTCCAATTTTAAGGAGCATGGGACAAAACCAAAAACTAAATGTAACCATTCGTTCACAAGAACCAACTGCATCTGCTTCAAGAATTGTCCATAGTGTCTTTAATTACAATTTTAATTTGTATTCATTTTTGTTTTTCCTAGTCCCCCTGTTCTCATTGAAGATTTAACACATATAATGGTTACATTTTTACAGTAATGAAGTGGAGATTTGTTATTTGTACATGCCACGCACAGCTGGTGCATGCCATTCCATGCAGACTTAAATAATCACAATCATTCTCCAGGATTCTAGCAGTATCGTCTTTCAAATCTCCTAATTACAGTTTACAGCAATACAAACATCATATTATTTTAAATGTACCTATGGATGCACTTTTGCTGCAGACCTTAACAGCCAAGTAAGATCAAACAATTTAAATGGATTTTAAATATTCAGATGCACATGATAGTAAATTTAATTAGATAAACCAACTGTTTGCATGAATTATGAATATGGTGGAGGACCACTTAAAGAATATATGATTAAATCACAAGACATTAGACCAAGGTAGAGTGAGATTTCTTAATTCATGCTGGTGTTCCAAATTGTTTTTCATGTTTACGGTCATTTTAGTTTTGATATTGAACTAATCATGAAATTATTCATTGTAAGATATGTATCTGTTTGTGATGCACATCTGAAGGAAAATTGAAAAGAGAAGTATTTCAAGAGATAAGGTTGTGGGCTGATTCATATTGATGGAAAAGTATGTGACTGCAAAAGCAACTAAGAACACAGTGACATTAAAAAATATAACAATCTGAAACGAGTTTTTAACCCTAAACTATGAATCTAAATCAGTGTGTTCTTTGTAAAACATATATTTTCTCTTAAAAATTTTCCTCCAGCCAATACGATTTTATTAAATCCTACATGGCTAAGAAATATCTCCATCTGCAATCCCTGAGATTCCCTTAAGGACCTCCATATGTGGTCATATCATTCAAAGTGAGATGTACAAGTACATGAACTGTACACGTTCACAGAATCCTTCAGCAGGCCTAAAAGGTGATGATTAAATTTTAATTTTAAAACAGTGTTGTTTTTTTTAAAAGAAATCCCTTTTCCCTCCACACTTGGCAGGAATGACCAGTCTCAAAGAGTATAATGCTTAATTGATAAGAATAAATAACTAATTAGTTACAGGGCAGTATGCATGATTTCAGTATTAATTGTAAGCTGATATTCATTTTTAGCGATAGGGAATTTCCATGTACAAGATCTCTAAGGTCCAACCTGGTCATACTAAGCTGTGTTTTGCAGAGCTTCTGTTTTTTCAGGGAAAAAGAGGATTAACAATAACTGCAGGCAAACCTGTATTCTAAGATATTTGAACCCACTAACAGTCTGTTAGAAAGCATGAGAAGAGTATTAGGAGTTGTGAATAATAATCCCAAAAGATCAATGGGTTTCAGCCACCAAAGCCACTTGGAGGTTTCATGACACTTTGCTTTAGATTTAAAAAAAAAACTTCTAAACACTCATGCATTTTAGCTTAAAGAAAATTATTTGAAACATGGTTATTGTTATGTACTGTGAGCATACTGTGCTATTGAATGTGGAATGTAGTTAACAGGGTAAGATACCATACACATGAAAGAACAAGTCTCTCTCCATTAATTACATTGGAATGTTTTTTTAGACCTGTCTTTGTAGAACAGAAATCTGTAATACATTTACAAACTTTGAGACTGTGAGTAATTAACTAGAAATACTATGTACCCTGAAAGGTCACTCTGAATAGAATGTTTTCGAAGAGCAATTAGCTAATAAATCTCAGAGAAAACATCCTCTGGGTGTTGTTTAAGTAGATCAGTTAAAACACACAAACACATAAAGCTCAAAATTAAAGTTTGGGTAGTGAACCTGAACATACATTTTTCTTAACATCAGGTTTGTACCAGGTATAAAATGTCATATCATTCCATTTTATTGTTTGAGCACAGTATTAAACATTGAAGAAAGAAAAATATATATTTAATTTCAGAGAGCTTTTTTTCTGATTCATTTAATCTAGTGCATCTTGAATTCTCATTGATTTGATATAGTTTTTCTGTTACTCATGGATCTTTCAAGTGGAGAAAATTCTTAAAATCAGTTATCTTGAAATGTTATTGAATACACCGTATTACTTTTCCATTTTTAGTACAGACTTTTTTGTACATGAAGATTTGGAAATAGTAAAAAATAAATTCCTGCATTTCAAATTCATAAGATAAATTAAAACATCTTCAAGGTTTAGCAAACCTCTGCACAATAATATACAGTATAATAATATTTAAATAATATATTAGATTGTTGAAAGGTTTAGCACTTAATACATAAGAAAAAATAAATCTACTTTTTACAGCATCTTAAATTTACATTCTGGAAGTTAATTGTCAGTTAATCTGTTTTCTAGTTTTTGTTAATTATGTAGCATGTCTAAAATGAACAGGTAAAAAATTCTGGATGTATGACATTATGCATTGAAAAATGCCTTTTAAAACACAGCAAAGACCTTTTTAAACCATTTAATGTGAATCATTCCCTTTTTGGATTACCAGTATAGTTGAGGGATAATTCTTCTTAAGGTAATTTACTTTCACACAGGCAAACTGAATTGACATGAAGGTAGAGGCATAAACATCTGTGATAGTAATAAATGATTCTGTCTACACATTTTTGAAAGATTTAAATTCTACATAATTATGTTATCTATAAATTTGCTCAGATTCTAGTGTTGATTAAATGTAAATGTCTATACTGTAGGTTGAAATTAAATCTGTTAGGCAAGTTACTTTGTTGCAGCATATGTTAGTATGCAAAAAGGAACTAATTTTAGTAGATCAGACTTAATTCTCTTTACAGTGCTGTAAACACCAACTTTTTTGGTATAGAGTACCAAAAGTTTTGAGAAACGCCAAGATAGTTACAAGTCATCAACCATTTGTAACATACCAGCAGCAAAACTACATAACACAAACCACCGTAACAGAACAAAAAGACAACCTACTGTAGATGAGACCTGCTTTTGAAAGGCATTGTTACTTATAATTCTTAAAATTATTCAATAATACTAAGGATTTTTTAAGATTTAAATTAGTAGTTTTAGATTGCCTATGAAAGACGTTATGTTCTATATCACGAATTGCTATGAATTAATAATAATAAATCCACATTTAAACAGAAATAACGAGCATGAAAAAAAGATTCAACATAACTCCCAATGTCCCCTGCTGCGTCATTGCGTTTAATGTTAAACGGTATAATCTTATCAAATGTTGCATTAGTTGTTGTTTTTTTAATCTTTAAATCCCCTATCATAACTAATCGGTAAATCCTTTGACTGAAACATTAAACTTAATACTATAAAACACTAAAATTCAGACAGATGCTGGAAAAGTGTAGAGTGAAACATTCTCAGTGTGCAAGGTTACCGCATGGTCGTACGAACAAATTCAGCACTACCATTTTGGACAGCTCCATATACAGTACACTGTTCTTTTTATGTCTCACCTATAGTTCCTACTACAGTATTATCATTCTCTCGTACACCGAGGATTTAAAAACATGTTTTTCTTTTGAATAGAGACGTGCCTTCACTAGTAAAGTACAGTATAACTGATAGTAGCACATAGTAGATGTATCATATGTATAAGTTCAACTCAACAGTTTTTGAAACAACGGTTTAAAATGAAAAGTTACTACAACTGCAACAATAGCGAAGTTTATCATCGCACGCACTGTACATCTGTACACCTCGGAAAGGGCCGCCTCGTAAGGGTAAGACATAACACTATTTTAATACTTAGCATCGCTGTTAGAAAGCTTTTCCATCTAATATGCAATCTCCTTGGGACGTATTTTCTACTGGTCAGGGAATTTTACTATTAATTTTACATGAAGGATGCCTCGAATCGAGCTAATTTACATTAAGCCTGCCGTCTGTTTCAAGACATGTCCCTGGTGTCCTGTCAAAAAGTCAAACTACTAAATCGGGGATTTCAGAAGGGTAATGTGAGAATATGAGTCGTACACTGATATTATTGCTGCCTAATGTTAACCAAGCCCACTGCGTTTGGAAAATACTTACGTGCATCCATAACCAAAACACAACGTAACAGCATGCATAGATATTTTCTCTGCAGATGTTGAATTATATTTACTTAAGTACAAACATGTTTCCTCTAAATGTATGATTAAAAGCGTTTGGTAAACCTAATCATGAGTCGAGTGTCTTGTTTGAATGTATATGTTCCGTAAAAGTCAATAGTGTAAACCGTGTTAAAGCAAGCATGCAAAAAGCAGGAATAGTTAAGTACGTAATTTTATCATGAACCATTCATCTAAATATACAAATGCATGCTTTGCCTAAAGCAACGGTGAAACCGTTAATGTAAATAGGTTAACAACACCTCAATCAGCACAGAATCAGTGCAGAATCGATTACAGATTTCCTTCACATTTGCTGAAAATACTAAAAAGTCTTTCTCTTCGTGATTTGCAATACGATTTTACCTGGATCAGTTAATGCTCACTGAAGCATCAAGTAAAACAGTAGACAAACCATGTTAGCTCTTTCCTTCACGAGTACTTCTTTCAATAACGCTATCCCTAAACTTGAAAAAGAAACACGGAAAAGGTCTCGAATTCAATCTTTTGTAAAACAAGCAAAAGTCTTCTATTTACTTATGGAGTCAGTCATTTTCCTTCTTATTCGTCTTTTGGAGCACAATTCTTTCCCTACCTGAAGTATTCCAATGGCGAAGAAAAATGCACCTGTAATCAAATTAGCCACAGATGTGTTCCGATGCCAAAATACTATTTCCACCGTATTCTAGTATGCAGATTAGACTTGTTTAAAACAGGCTAAATCAGTTAGGCTTGGGAAATAAGCCTGTTTTTTGTGTCCTTACTCCTAACGGCAGCTCTCCACACCACAGCTCTGAATGTTTCTGATGTTAGAGCGTGTCCTATTTCAACAGCTCTAGACTACACTCGTTTTGACGTCACGTATTGCATATATAATATATGCATATTCTGCTGTATTAACTGACACCTGTGAGCGTATTATTCTGACCTTTGGCTATACAGGAATGAAAAGGACATTTTCCAGCAGCAAAAAAATAAAACACAAATAATTAGCCTTTCGCCATCCTACTGTACAAAAAAGAAAAAGTGATGAATTATCAGCAGAAATAACATTTCTCCTTTCTAGGAATCAAAACCTCTTAATCTTTCAATCTTTCAACTTTAATTTGATAATAAAGCTGGAAGCAGTAATACGTCTTATTTTCAATACGTTACTGGTACAGAACTTCTAGTGTGGATTGTGGAAGATAATTGTTACTGTAACAACAGAAAAATCCAAAACTGAAAAGAGAAAAGACATTCTGTTTCTAACTTTTTGTTAAGGTATTTTCCCAAGCACTAGAGCATCTTATGCACATACAAAAATGAGAAACTGTGTATTTGCATTCTCACCTGTGTTGTGTGATACACTTTAAAAACTGGGGACTGTTCATCTGAACTGTGATTATAACAACTATTAGAATTACAAATGAATTATCTCACCTCATAGGAATATAATTTTGTTTTGTCACCTAAAGCTGCTAATGAAAAAAAACATTTGTGGCAACAGAGGTCCAACTATTGTTTAAGGACACCTGAAAATATAAAAACATGTACACCAAAACACACACATACAGTACTTACAGGGCTGTTTCATTAAATAGAGTCGCAAAACCTGCCCTTGCTCAAAACAAGTCACCCAGGCAGTTTCAACTAGGTAAAGTGCCTGCTTTGTGATGAACCCAAGTAATTGATTCGCATGTCTGTGGTGATGCAAGGTATCAGTTTAAAGATGCTTGGCCTTGTGCAAACGAGATCAAACAGTGAGAGTTATTGTCACTTATTGAACAAATTGCATGAAGCCATCCATTGAAAGACGTCTGATGCTGCCTCAGAGGATCATCTTGTTGTGTGATAACACTAGGTCACACATTGCCAATCACTCCTATGTTTACAGCATTATCTGATTATCTGACATCACTGGTTCAACATTCAGTGATTCCCATTTCTCTAGTCCCGTAAAGAAGCACCTATCCAACAGATAACTTGCAACAGTAAAGTGCAGGCAGTTAAGTCTTGGCTCCATTACCTAGTGATTCTGGGTTCACTATTCTGGGTTCAACAGACTGATAATACATGACTGTTGATAATACAGGTTTGGCCACCATTTGATAAAATGTATACCATTATTATTATTATTATTATTATTATTATTATTA